AGGAGGAGAAACGGCTTGCAGCTGCTTCATTGAAAGACATACAGGAGATTGCTGCTTGTCACTGCCCCCACCACTGCACAGAACATACTTGACGGTTCAGTTTTCTTTCTGCCACTACCCCCACCGCCGCTGTGTTATTCTCACTGTCCAGCCCCCCTACATCCTCTGCACCAATAGAAGAGGGGAGAGACCCTCCCCCCTCCCCCCCCCCCCCCCCCCCCCCCCCCCCCCCCCCCCCCCCCCCCTTCCCCCCCCCTCCTTCCTTCCTTCCTTCCTTCCAACCACCCCCCCTTCCTTCCTTCCCAACCACCCCCTCCCCCCTTCCTTCCACACCCACCCCCTCCCTTCCTTCCTTCCTTCCTTCCAACCACCCCCCCCCTTCCTTCCTTCCTTCCCCCCCCTTTCCTTTATTCCACCCACCCACCCATCCATTCCTTCCTTCCACCCACCCACCCCCCTTCCTTCCCATCCCCCCCCCCCTTCCCACCACCCCCCCCTCCCCTTCTTCCTTCCACCCACCCTTCCCTCCATTCCTTCCACCCATCCCCTCCCTTCCTTCCTTCCCCCACCCTTCCCTTCCCCTTTCACCCCTCCCCCCCCTTCCACCCCCCTCCCTTCCTCTCTTCCCTTCCTTCCTTCCTTCCTTCTACCCACCCCCTTTCCTCCCTCCCTCCCTTCCCCCCTCCCTCTCCCCCCCTTACACTTACACCTCCCTTCCTTCCACCCACCCCTTCCTTCCTTTGTTCCACCCACCCTTCCTTCCACCCACCCCTCCCCCTTCCTTCCTCCCACCCACCAACCCCCCTCTTCCCCCTCCATCCTTCCACCCACCCCTCCCTCCCTTCCTTCCACCTATACTTCCTTCCTTCCACCCACCCTCCCTTCCTTCTACCCACCCCTTCCACCCATCCTTCCTTCCTTCCACCCCCACCGCTTCCTTCCTTCCTTCCACCCACCGCTTCCTTCCTTCCTTCCACTCACTCTTCCTTCCTTCCACCCACCCCTCAACAGAAATGTGGAGACAGCATATAAAAAGTAACATAAACTTACTTTAATAAGTATATCACCAACCCCAGCGCACAAGAAAACCTTACAATAGGTGATAAAGTTAAAAGTATGCTGCTGCTCAATGGTGCAATACACCAATTTATAAAAATAATAATATATAAACAGCGCAAATCAAAAAACCTCCTCACCAAATAAATAACATCAATAACCAAAACAATACAAAAATCAATAAAAAATATATATAATTTGTAAAGTGTCCAAGAAAATATATAAAGTGTGTACAAAAAAGTAAAAATAAATTAAGTATAAAAATAATAAAAAGTCCTTCTTCCCAAAATATATAATCAAAATAATCTTCTCCCAAAGAATGGCTTGATGCTCTCCTTCCACTCAATCCTAGTAATAGCAGTAATAGTGCTTCCAATCCCAGTGCAGAATCAACATCATTGCAGCCATATGCAGTATTAAAACAATACCAGGCCACTCACATGTTCAAAGATAGTTTATAGCATTTGATTTATTGCCTTCATCGGCTCACACAGATCCACATAACCACAGTTCAATCCAGAGACCTCACAGCCTTTTGGTTTGCAGAGGATAACAGCACACAGTTTCAACAACAAAGATGGGCGCCTAGAACGCACTGCTCAGCGTGCGTTCCACTCACCGGAAGTGACGCGGGACGTTTGGACGACAGACCGGAAGTGCGTCAATGCTGTGGGAGGGGCGAAACATGTCGACGCACTTCCAGTGTGCCGTCCAAACATCTTGCATCACTTCCGGTGAGTGGAACGCACGCTGAGCAGTGCGTTCCAGGTGGCCATCTTTGTTGTTGGAACTGTATGCTTTTATCCTCTGCAAACCAAAAGGCTGTGAGGTCTCTGGATTGAACTGTGGTTATGTGGATCTGTGTGAGCAGATGAAGGCAATAAATCAAATGCTTTTAATTATCTTTGAACATGTGAGTGGCCTGGTGTTATTTTAATACTGCATATGGTATTAGCAATATCACACTATGGTATTTTTTTCTTTTGCACTGCTGGGGAGCTCTTACTAGGAGTGAGTGGAAGGAGAGCATCAGGCCATTCAAGGCAGATAAGGAGCTCTGGAGAACATAGAGGGGGTTTAGGATCCCTAAAATCCTAAAAGGCGCAATACTTACCAATATCTGGTGAGTGCGGTTGATGTTGATTCTGCACTAGTGGATGGCGGAAGCACATTTCTTTGGGAAAAGATTATTTTGATTATACATTTTGGGAAGAAGGACTTTTTATTTATACTTAATTTATTTTTACTTTTTTGTACACACTTTATATATTTTCTTGGACACTTTATGAATTATATATATTTTTTATTGATTTTTATATTGTGGGGAGGTTTTTTGATTTGCACTGTTTATATATTATTATTTTTATAAACTTACTTTACACTGCAAAAATAACTCAATATACAGGTGAAACTCGAAAAATTAGAATATTGTGCAAAAGTTCATTTATTTCAGTAATGCAACTTAAAAGGTGAAACTTATATATTAGATAGACTTATTACATGCAAAGCAAGATAGTTCAAGCCATGATTTGTCATAATTGTGATGATTATGGCTTACAGCTCATGAAAACCCCAAATCCACAATCTCAGAAAATTAGAATATTTTGAAAAGGTGCAATATTCTAGGCTCAAAGTGTCCCACTCTAATCAGCTAATTAAGCCATAACACCTGCAAAGGGTTCCTGAGCCTTTAAATGGTCTCTCAGTCTGGTTCAGTAGGAATCACAATCATGGGAAAGACTGCTGACCTGACAGTTGTGCAGAAAACCATCATTGACACCTTCCATAAGGAGGGAAAGCCTCAAAAGGTAATTGCAAAAGAAGTTGGATGTTCCCAAAGTGCTGTATCAAAGCACATTAATATAAAGTTATGTGGAAGGGAAAAGTGTGGAAGAAAAAGGTGCACAAGAAGCAGGGATGACTGCAGCCTGGAGAGGATTGTCAGGAAAAGACCATTCAAAAGTGTTGGGGACTTTCACAAGGAGTGGACTGAGGCTGAAGTCAATGCATCAAGAGCCACCACACACAGACGGATCCTGGACATGGGCTTCAAATATCATATTCCTCTTGTCAAGCCGCTCCTGAAAAACAAACAATGTCAAAAGCGTCTTACCTGGTCTGTTGCTCAGTGGTCCAAAGTCCTCTTTTCTGATGAGAGCAACTTTTGCATCTCATTTGGAAACCAAGGACCCAGAGTATGGAGGAAGAATGGAGAGGCACACACTGCAAGATGCTTGAAGTCCAGTGTGAAGTTTCCACAGTCTGTGTTGATTTGGGGAGCCATGTCATCTACTGGTGTTGGTCCACTGTGCTTCATTAAGTCCAGGGTCAACGCAGCCATCTACCAGGAGATTTTGGAGCACTTCACGCTTCCTTCTGCAGACGAGCTTTATGGGGATGCTGACTTCAGTTTCCAGCAGGACTTGGCATCTGCCCACACTGCCAAAAGCACCAAAACCTGGTTCAGTGACCGTGGGATTACTGTGATTGATTGGCCAGCAAACTCGCCTGACCTGAACCCCATAGAGAATCTATGGGGCATTGCCAAGAGAAAGATGAGATATGAGACCAAACAATGCAGAAGAGCTGAAGGCCGCTATTGAAGCATCCTGGTTTTCCATAACACCTCAGCAGTGCCACAGGCTGATAGCTTCCATGCCATGCCGCATCGAGGCAGTAATTGCTGCAAAAGGGGCCCAAACCAAGTACTGAGGACATATGCATGCTTATACTTTTCAGAGGTCCTATATTGTTCTATGTACAATCCTTGTTTTATTGATTGCATGTAATATTCTAATTTTCTGAGATTGTGGATTTGGGGTTTTCATGAGCTGTAAGCCATAATCATCACAATTATGACAAATCACGTCTTGAACTATCTTGTTTTGCATGTAATGAGTCTATCTCATATATTAGTTTCACCTTTTAAGTTGCATTACTGAAATGAATAAACTTTTGCACGATATTCTAATTTTTCGAGTTTCACCTATATGTGCTCACTGAAAATGCACAATATTTCTTTTTGATTCTTACTAGTATTGGCATTAGAAACTTGCCTGTGACAGTTGTAAGCCAAAAAAAACCTTCACATAGCAGTTTTGAGTGAAACACATTTGTCTCTAAGCAAACACACAATAATCTTAAGCATTTTCAATAATAATATCAATGTTTAATAATGAAATCATATAAGATTAGAATATAAATGTCTATTGCAACAAAAAAAATTGTAAAATGAGAGGAATGCTTGTGAATAATATGGTTTGGAAACTTTTGGACAATTTCACCATGTAGTTACTCTTTACTTACTTTTAAATTTATAGTACCTGAAATATCAACCAAATTAGTATATAGGTGTGGTGATTACTAGAAAGCTTTCAGTAACTACATCTGGGATAATAAACAATCATCACAGGTCAACTCGGGTACTTTATGATATTAATGTAATACAGTACATGTATCAACAAATGTTCTTTACTTATTAGATGAAAGGTTTACTAAAGCCTGAGCAATTTAGATGAGTTGTTAATCAAACTCTACATATCACCAGTGGCAATGGTGTTGATTTACTAAAGACAGGCTGTTCACTTTTGCAAGGGAATTTGCTCCTTAACTTAGTGAATGTGGTAAAATTTTACTTTGCAAAAAAAACCCTGCTATATAGGAAATTAAAGGAAAATGCATGCTTTGTTACAACCCCCACTACTGAAATTCAGTTATTCTAAGTCAATACCTAACATTACCGTATACCATTGTTTCCAATCTAAACTGAAAAAGACACCTAACCTATATATATGCAGTAATGTTATACAATGTTATATGTCAGACATTGTTGCTGCCTGGGTAGAATATTATGTAAACCTGCAGTTCTCAATCTCCTGGGCTGCTGGGCGCTTTAGCAGTCGCACAGTCTTCCATGGCTAAAGTTGCACATATATTTCCAGAAACTATCGAGGTATAGCAAAAATCTTGTATGGGTGAGGCTGTAGGGTCAACTTAAAGACATATTTGGTGTTTACTTCTGTTACTCCTTTTGGAAGATGAAAGCTGAAAGATCGCATAAGAGTGGTAAAAATGATAAAGAGCTCATACCGGGCAAGCTGTTCCCCAAGACATACCCGGGCACCTGTAAATGAGAAAGAAACAACCTTTACAAACATCTAAATTTTAGGTGTATACATTATGATTTGATAAATTCACACTTCAATCCTGCCTAGCTCAAGTATCAAGTATAAATCTAAACCTGGTGGATACCAGCATTTTAGGTTCTAGCAGGTTTTACATATCGTAAACGGTCTGTGGGACAACACCCATGTGGCCTGGCTTGTTTCCATGAGGAGGTAGGTAATGAATGGCAATTCAGGGAAACTTGATGTGCATGTTTTTGCTAAGAAACTCATATTTTGCAGAAGTGCACAAAAGCATTTGTGCGGAAGAGGGTAAGGGCCTGTTTCAACTGGCTTTTGTTTAGCTCAAATGGTTTCTCCCTTTCTACACGGGTCTAAGAGAATACAAAGCCCACTTAAAGCAGGTCAAATGCATCTCAGAAGGAGATCTACTGCATATCAAAAGCACCTGTCCATAAATTCTAAATGATCTCAGAAGTGACTTTAATGTTAAATTGATGCCACTAACACAAGCCCAAAGCAGCGCAGTTTCTTTGATGTAGACATCTGAAGGGTGTTTCACCCTGCTGCATGGAGTTCCCCGCATTTGGCTGCAATGGGAAGGCACAGGTTTGCCATCCAGTCCTGTTGCCAACAGCTTGTCAAGCTCTATGAGAGGATGACCTGCTGCTGCAGCTGCACAGGGCTAGGCAGTGCACCTAACTGTACTTCCATTTAGTGCAGCGTGTGCCCAGGGATGTATGCCCGAAATGCAAGAAACCTGCATTCTGGGCATTTGTCCCTGGAAGCATACTGCCCTAAACGGAAATACCAATGAGGGCACCACTCAGACCTGCCAAGCTGCAGAAGCTGTCATCCTATCAAAGAGCTTGAAAGGCTGACAGCAGCAGGACTGGATGGCAAACCTGTGCCGTCCACCAGGGGCTAAACCCCAGAGACCCTTGCACCAGGGCTATAAGCCCAGTGTGCATGGGGCCTTAGGCTATCAACATTAAATAAGCTGCACTGCTTTGGGCTTTTGTTGATGCCATTGCTTAATGCTGACAGCCTAGAAAGATAGTCTACATGATTAAAGCCTGTCTCCATGAAAAATGAAAAAAAATGAACCTTAGCTGTGGGGGTAGTGCCCAGTATAGAATTGGAATTTACGCCACTTTTTGCTATACAGCACTGCACTAATTTAACTGAAAATTGTGCAGTTATGCAATACTGTACATAAATGTCCTTTTTTCACACAAATAGAGCTTTCTTTTGGTGGTATTTGATCACCTCTGGGTTTTTTTTGCGCTATAAACAAAAAAGACCGAACATTTTGGAAAAAAAAAAAAATGATATTTTCTCAATTCTGTCATAAAAAGTATCCAATAAACTCAAATTTCATCATAAATTTAGACCAAAATGTATTTTACTATATGTCTTTGGTAAAAAGATCCCAATAGGTGTAAATTAATTGGTTTGTGCGAAAGTTATAACGTCTACAAATGGTGGTATAGATACTGGAATTTACTCAGCTTTTCATTCCTGACTGCCTATCACATTTCTTGAGGTGCTAAAATACCAGGATAGTACAAACACCCCCAAATGACCCCTTTTCAGAAAGTAGACTCCCTAAGCTATCTGCTGAGAGGCATGTTGAGTCCATGGAAGATTTATTTTTTTCCACAGGTTTTTGGAAAATAACAAAACATTTTTTTTTTATACAAAGTTGTCAATTAAATGATATATTGCTCACACAAGCCATGGGTATATGTTGAATTACACCCCAAAATACATTCTGCTGCTTCTAACCAGTATGGGGATACCACTTGTGTGAGATTGTTTTGCTAGTCTAGCCACATACAGGAGCCCTAAATCCAATGACCACTTTGAAAGGCTGAAGGTGCATACCTTCCTCATTTCACTTCCTCAATACCTATCACAGTTTTAGAGGCCCTGAAATGACAAGATAGCACCAACCCCCCCAGATTACCTTTTTGGAAACAGACACCCCAAGGAATTTAATAAGAGGCATGGTGAGTATTTTGCAGATCTCATTTTTTCTCACAAGGTTTGGAAATATAAAAAAAAGAAAAGAAGAAATATGTTTTTGTTTTCTTTCTTCATTTTCCAAAAACTTGTGGTAACAAACAAGATCTGCAAAATACTCACCATGCTTCTTATCAAATTCCTTGAGGTGTCTACTTTCCAAAAAAGGGTCATTGGGGGGGGGGGGGTCATACTACTATTCTGGCATTTCAGGGCCTCCAAAACTGTGATAGATAGTCAGGAGGTGTAATGAGGAAATAAAGCCCTTTAAAGGCCTGAAGGTGCTTATTGGATTTTAGCGTCCTCTGCTTGGCTAGACTGTCAAAACGTCTCTAACATGTGGTATCCCCATAAGCGGGAGAAATAGCAGAATGTATTTTGGGGAGTAATTCCCATGGCATGCATGAGCAATAAATCATTTAAGTGACAATTTATTGGAAAAAAAAATTTTTTTTTGTAATTTTCCAAAAACTTGTGGTAAAAAAATAAATTTTTTTATTGACTCAACATGCCTCTCAGCAAATAGTTTGGGGTGTCTACTTTCCAAAAAGGGGTCATGGGGAGGTATTTTATGCCCAGCAATAGAAGTTTATGCCACACTCTTCTAACAACCTGAAGACCAAGCCTTTTTTGACACTTTTTGTTCACTTGAAAAAAATCAGTATTTTTGCTAGGAAATTACTTGAAACCCCCAAACGTTATATATTTTTTTAAAGTGGACACCCTAGTGAATAAAATGGTAGGTGTGTCATATATTTATATCACATAGTACGCAGTGATTTTTCAAATGCAAGTTTTTGGAATAAAATACACTTTTTTACTTTTAATGTACAAAAACACAATATATTAGCCAATTAATTGATAAAATATAAAAGATGATGGTATGCCGAATAAATAGATATCAAACATGACATGCTTTAAAACTGCGCACGCTACATGCAATGGTGACAAACTGAATATATTTTTAATATCCATAGACAACAATTTAAAAGCCTTTACACGCTATCATTTTAGATTTACACAGGAGGTCTAGTGCTAGAATGACTGCCCTTGATCTGACACGGCAATACCTCACATGCATGGTGCAACCACTGTTTACATACCAGCATGGGGTCAACGCTTGTGCGTGTGTGCATTGCGCAGGGGGGAGCGAGGGTGCTTTCTCTTTTTTTTAGTTATTTTGATTTTTTAAAATTATTTTTACACTGTCCCTTTCATTTTTTTTTATCACTTTTATTGCCATCACAGGGAATGTAAATATCCCGTGACTGCAATAGGCATTGATAGGTATTCTTATTTGAGAAATCTGGGGTCTATTAGAGGATATCTCCTCTGCCCTTACATAATCTGATCTCACCAAGATCGGTGTGATCAGATGCTTTCCCAATTTACAAATGGCGCTATTTAAATCCTACAAAATTAAAGTGATGAAATGCTCGTTGCTTCCGATTTCTTACACTATAGAGATGATTGGCACCGTTCCGGCCTCCAATCAGCTCTATGGTCAGCTGGCAGAACCACCAGCTCCATTCTCAGGTTCCCCTGATGGCACGGTACTGCCCGAGAAGGCCGTGGAAAAGGCAAGGGGGGGGGGCATCATCTCCCACTGCTTGTAAAAGCAATCCTGCAGCTAATGAGCCACTAAGATTGCTTTTAAATCATGAAAGCTGATTACCGGCTGAAAAAACAATACCAGGATGATGCCTGCAGCCGCAGGCATCAACCTGGTATAACCTCTCAAAGTCCGGTGATGTACTAGTACGACGCTGGTCCTTGTTGGGTATACAGTATATGCTATGTTCTTTTTTTTTAATGCAGCCTGTGTGCTGAATAAAAAAAAGAGAAGAAATCTCTTCCAGAAAAAGTGTGTGTGTATGCTCACCATTAGTATATTCCACCCTGCATCCACCCACTTCTAATGGTGGGCACACATGAAATGTTCTTTTTTGAACGAAAAAAACTGATAATTCTATTCACATGGATTGATGTGTATGGAGAAATATCTGGCAAAAAATTTTCTTATAAATATATGCCAAAAGCATAGGGTCCATCCATAGACTGGCCACCCCAGGGGTGCTTCGGCACATATACTTTCCTATGGAGGTCTTACCTGGATCCACTCACCTAGACCCAGCGGTCGAAAAGGTGGTGGGGTTGGTATGCTCCTGTCACCACAGAGCGCCTTCCAAGTCCTCCCTAACCCTCCCTCTCTATCCTTCTCCTCCTTTGAGGCCCACTGCATCCGACTATTCTCTCCAATCCCCCTGAGGATCGCAGTAATCTATCGGCCCCCTGGACCCGTATCACGCTTCCTCGACGACTTCTCCGCCTGGTTACCCTTATTTCTCTCCTCCAAGCTGCCCACCATCATACTTGGAGATTTCAACATCCCAACCAACATCAATAGCCCGGCCACATCCCAACTCCTCCACCTAACCTCTTCTTTTGCACTTGCACAGTGCATACAGTCCTCCACCCACTCCGACGGAAACACCCTGGACCTTGTTTTCTCTCATCTCTGCACCCCCCACAACCTCACAAACACCCCTTTTCCCCTCTCTGACCACAACCTCATCACCTTCTCCGTCTCCTCATCCTCTTACACCTACCCCTCCAAACGTCAAACTATCACCAGCCGAAACCTCCGCAACCTGAAATCTGTCCCCTTCCACTCTGCAGCCGACCAACTTTACTTCCCCTGTCCTGCCCTGACCTGGCCACTACTGTCTATAACAACTCGCTGTCAGTCGCTCTTGACTCCTTAGCACCCCTAACCACATGAAACATTAGACCCCGACCGCTTCAACCCTGGCAGAATGACCACACCAAAAACCTCAAGCAACGCAGTCGCGCACTAGAGCAACTATGGCGCAAAACCAGATCCCAACAAGCGTTCACCCGATACAAATCCGCCTTCCTCACCTACACTTCCTCCCTCCACGCTGCCAAGCAAGCCTACTTTGTAACCCTCATC